GCAGATAATCCAGAATGTTAGTTGATTTCGTGACACTTATTTTGTGTCACATAGACCATGATAAATGATTCATAGAAAGTATTATTCCAGGTACTATCAGGAAGTAGTATTCCAGAGTTCATGTTCTCAGGGGTGACATTTGCGTTAACAAATAGAAATTTATTTTGGTTTGGTTCTTCCTGATTACTGATGAAAGAATGGTATCTAATCTGTTTTTTTATAGCAGCAATAAAACACTAATTCTTTCAAGCATTTGTCACACTTGATCTTGACATGGGCAAGCCAGACTTACTGCTTCTCACTTCAGACTTTATAAACCTCAGTACTTATATGTAAGTGTCCAGTGTCCTATATTCTTAAACATCAATTGAAGTTTTGCCGCAAATGTCAATGAGCATGGGTCAGATGGCATTAAAAAAAGTTTGATTTTATGTAGTTCTGCCCATATCAGTGTAATGTCAAAAATGGTTTACCGTTTATTTTTACTACTTAAGGTTTTTAATCTTTTCTGTAAATGAGGATTCAGACTGTAAATGAGGATTCATGATGAGTTGCTACTGCAGGAAAAAAACAAAACAAAAATCTATAAGTCATGTAGGTTGACACAGATAAATCTGTTCAGGTCACCCTGAGTGTTTTTTAAATTTCATACCTTTATTTTGTCAATAATTAGAATTTTCTAAAGTTTGTTCATTTAAATGAACAAACTTTTATTTTCTTTGTTTTAATTTTGGTTTAATTTGTTCAAATTTAAAACGTTTAGTTTCAAACTTTTAAAAAGACTACAACACTTTAGTTTCTCAAAATAATGAGATTAACTTTTTAAAATTCTTGCAGTATTTACAAATTTGGAAGTGAAGTTCAGTATCATAAAATATTTCCACTTTAATTTTCATATTTTAATCCTGATTTCTTTTTCTTTTGCTTTCTATCTGGTTTATGGTATGTACTTGGCTTTCTTAATATGCAGTAATTTTATCTAGTAACTTTCAAAATCTATATTCAATAATATTATTTAATAGGGAACTTGATTTATCAGTCACAACAAATATTTTCTTTATCTGTTTAGTTAAGCCTTAAATTACTAAAGGTTTGAAATATTAAAGGGGTTTATTAAATCCTGGATAATAGTGTTTGCAGTTTTTACAGATTGGAATCAATTCTCATCCTGCTTTTCTGGTTAAACATGGATTAGCCTCAACGTCAGGGCTGCTGAGTGTCTTCAGCTTTCATGTCCTATTTGCTGTCTATAATCTGTCACTTTCTTCTCCAGCTCTTACATTTTCTATTTACAGGCATGTATATGTTGCTGAAACTAGCTAGTAGATATAGTGCTGAAAGGTACTACTTTATTTAATCAATTGAAGTATTAGTTGTTTGAAGAAAATGCTAAACTTTATCTGGTTTCACTCCTTATTTTTATAGGATAGGTGTCAATAAAATCCTATGAACCCAGTTGCTCATTAAAGCAGTAGTTTTCAAACTCTTTGAACAAACAAATGACTGCCAAACCACAAGGGTTCCTAAGGACCAACTTTTAGCTCAGCAGTTTTCTACCTTTTTTTTTCCTTTTAATAGTTTAGTACGGTTCCGCACACCAAGTGTGAACCACAGTTTGGATCAGTTTACTTGAGGATTTAGAATTTTTACATAATTGACGTATGTCACAGTTCAGAAAAATGGTCACTGTCTATCCTGATCTGAAACATTATACAAGGTAGTGCTTTTCAGCACTGCAGCCTTGGACTCCGTCTCAAAATTCAAAATAAGCTTTTCTTCTGTACAAGTAGTATTATCAAGTGATTTCCAATGCTCAAATCTTACCTTCCACTTAGAAAAAGGAGCAGAGCTTACTTAGTTTTAGATTTTTGTTCTTTTTAAGGTACTGCTGGAGAGATTTTGGTTGTTTTTACGTGGAAATCCATAGAACACTTACATGAATATAATGTTTTGTGACCCAGAACTGGTGGCCAGAAGAGTTTGGGTTGTTTCTTCTCACAAGGAAACAGGAAAGTTGCTTCATAAGCAGCTGTGGAGGCTTTTTTTGTAATGTGTCTGAGAACAGTGCAATGTCAGTACCTGATTGATAACATGAGCCTTAACTCTTTCATCCTTTCCTACCTGTATTACACTAACAGCTTTTGAAATGCCTGTGATATTTTACCTGCTTTAAAAATACATAATGGCATAGACATTCAGGTCTTAAACTGTAATTTAATAAATAGCTTCTTGTGATATGCTTCTTCCTGTGGCTTCACTGAATTCCTAAAGAAGTGAAGTACAGGAACTTGAAATCTCAACTTGGCAGAGAAGACATTCTGGCTATCTTTAAAATGCATTTATTAAGAATTTTTTAAAGATACAAAGTAGTGCTCTAATCTTTTTTAGTTAAAGCACTTTTGATATAGGCTTTACAGGACTAACATGAACATAATTATTAAAAATTAAGATGTACCCATTTTATGTGGAATTTTGCACTTGACATTTTAAATATCTCTTCTCTTGCATTTGACATATTTTAAATACTTCTTCTTTTGAAGACTAATGCAAATCAGGATATCACTGAACTGGAGAATAAAGTGGCAGCTTTGAAATGCCAGTTTGAGAAGACTTTGAATGACTCTACTGCAAACCAAAAATTCTTGGAAGAGAACTTGGTGACAACAAAACATGACTTGCTTAAGGTGCAGGATCAGCTATCCACAGCTGAAAAGGTTAGCATTTTATTGCAATATAAAGATGAGATCCTTACTCACATTTTAGCTGATTAGTGATTTAACAAGCATATGCTACAGGATGCAGAGTTTACTGGGTCACGCTTGTGCCAGTGTATTTTTGTTATTTCGGTGGAAAAACATGTTATGCACAAAACAGCAAAAATGCAACTAAGATTATAACTAGATGAATACTTGAAAATTGCCCATTTGTTGACATAGAAGTTTTTGAATGAAGTGTATTCCCATTCTTCAGAAGACTTTTAGCCTGATTTCATTAGAATGTAAAGTCTGTGTTTCTCTGTCTCTCCTAGTAATATAATTGTAATCTACTAGATGACTTTCTCTAAATTTGAATAAGTTAGAGAACCCACTATTCTGAAACTTAAGGAGGAAATGCAAGTCATCTTTTTTAAAAAGCATATTAGCCTGGTTTTCAGAATATGTAAATAATATGTTGATGTTATTATGTAGGAATTAGAGAAGAAATTTCAGCAAACAGCTGCCTATCGCAACATGAAAGAGATCCTCACTAAGAAGAATGAACAGATAAAGGATCTACGTAAAAAGCTTTCCAAGTAAGTGGTGCTGTTCTGTCTGTCCAAACAGGATCATTGTTCTGGATCCACATTCTGTTCCCATTTTGTTTTTTATAAATGTGAAGCTGTCTCTAAAACAGACTATAAAGTTTTCCTTAAAAAGAGGTTCTAGCAGGCTGTTCCCTGATTTTCGACAAGCCAATCTTTTTGATGCATGCTAGATGAGTAGGACTGATGTGTGCAACAGTAGTTACTGTGTAGCAAGTAATGGGAGAATTTAGTATGGAGAGGATACAAAATCCTGGTGGATGTGGTAGACGAGCCTTCAGGTGCTACACACACAGATGCAGGTGGCGGATGTACCAGATGTTTTGGCATTCTCTTATTTCTTCCACACTTGTTTATAGGAATGAGAAGTCCACGGTATGTAAACAGGCTTAGGCCTGTATTGAGTAAAGAAGCACCCTGGCCATTATATTGCGTAGAACACTCTCATTCTGCAAATGTCAAGTGAGCTTTGGCAACCTGGATGCCTTAGACCTATGCTGTAAGAAGACAGAAGTGAAACTTCAAACTTCTGTTTAAACTTCTGCCTGTATTTTGAGATTTGTGGGTAGGTTCCTGGTCATTCCCTCATTCTTCTGTTTCATAAACTGGCCAGTTTTGAAAGGAGAAAATAGTCTAAAAAGTATATATATTTTTCTGGTCCCTAAGACATACAGTGAGCCTTGACAGCAATATGTCACTAGTGAGAGTAATTTATTACTTGAGTTTCATATTTTCTTTAGAGACAAAATGTCTTATTGGTATTTTCTACTCTGTTTTAATGTGAGTTTCTTTTATTTATTTATTTTTCCAATCCTCAGATATGAGCCAGAGGACTAAAACACCAAGAATACCTGGTCTGTCAGAAGCTGCCATAGAAAGAAAATGTAGACTGGTATTATTTTTCAATAATTTTTGGTTTGAACAGTATATTTTTTGCTTCTAGTGCTTAAAATAACTTTTTATTAATACTAATAAGATGCTGAAACTTCTATCTTACTTCCTTGTAAACTTACAATTTATAGTTATTAGTTTCTGTAACCATGTTTTTAATTGTTGGCCATTGACATTGCCTGAGAAATAGCAAACAGGAGTTTATGGAAGAACTGAGACCGTTCTCTACAAAGAAGGGAGTTTATTTTTGTTAAGAAAAAAAAAAAAGGAAAAAAAAAGCTTTAGTTTTTTGATGTCTCTGAGGTAGAAACTCCAGTTAGTTACTTTTGTATAGTTAATGTAGCCATGAGTTGGCATTATAAATGAAAGTTGCATCAGTGGAAGTAAAAAGTAGGAGGAAAAAAAGACACACTGATTCTGTGATGTTATTTCACACTGGACATCTCATACCTTAGCAAAATGTGGTCAATAACGTTTTGCTAGAGGGAATTCAGTAGGCAGCAAGGTAGATAAGCTTTACAGCAGAAGCGCTGCACCATTTCAGATACGGCAACTGATTGGAGGTGTGCTTTTTCACTTTAATTTATTTAAAACAAATTTGAACATCAGAATACAGATTCTGATTCTGATTTTGCCAGTATTCTTAATGTTAAGATGATAATCTGAAAAAGCATAGGGAAGTTGCTAATGGAACTTTCTTAGGAAATAAGTTATTTTAGATGTTTTCATCTCCTTTCTTATTGTAATTTCACCAGAAAACAGCTTACTTCTCCCAAGTCTTTTGCTTGTAATCCTCTGCCTTGCATTTATCTGGAAGCCTCTTAACAGTGCATTCTACATGTTTGTCTGTCCCTGTTCATATGTATGTTGTATGTTACTCCAAATAAAACCAGTATGTTTTCAAATGCTTGATCTTTAAGGAGATGGTTTTTTAACAGGAATGTTTTGTATAGCTCTTTTTAAAATACCTGTAGAAAGGAGTGGCACACCAGCAAAGAACCTTGCTAGGAACGCAAACATATAAACTGCAGGTTCATGCCTGAAGCCACACCACATCAAACAGCTGTAAAAAAGTGTGCCAGTGGCAGGCCTGGGAAAAGGCTGGTGGGTGTGTGCTGCAGAAACTGGCGTTTAACGGTGTTTGTCTCAGGAGCTGCTTGAACTGGAATGGGTCATTTTTCCTCATTCTTTCTCAAACAGACAAAGCTGTTAAAATTGCTGAAACAGCAATGCCCCAGTGAAATCTGCCTTGCGTTTGCAGCCTATAAGTTCTTTTCTTGTCCTTTTTCCCCCCACTGATTAAGCGAGATGAGTTTGGGCTAAAGTCCTGTCTTTGTAGCATGATAGTATTGTTGTGGCACTGTAGTAGGTCTTTATGGGGTGACATACTCCTCATGCAGTGTCAGTTAAATTAATGGAAGGTATTATTTTGCTGCTCATACAGTCACTAAAATGTTAACTTCTTAATAGGGATGTACCAAAGAGCTTTCTGGCTCTCTTTGCTCAGAGCAATTATGTTCACAGCAACAAGTGTACTTGTCTGGGTGAATATTGTATTTTAAGTGGTAAAGAAATTCATTTTAATGAGATCAATTACCGTTTCTAAAATGGCAGGTAAAGGGGTGAAAAAAGGCAAAGAATCTCATTATTTCAGCTGGTTTTCCCTTTTCTGATAAATCTTTGGCTGTTGACTTAGCTAGAATATTGTCTCTGTGATAGGCCTTCGTTATCTGCCTAGAAACTACTGCAACAAGTAAGTACACTCCTCAGCTTCAGAATATGGACAGGTCTCAGTGAAATAAACTGGCTGTGGCAAGCACGGTTACAGACCTTGTTATGTCCTCAGATGAGTAAGGCAAATCTTGTAGAGAACTGTGCAGTGCAGAATTGAAACACTGACTGATTACCTGTCCTGCAGATTGCCAGTTTAGTGAGTACAAGACCAGTGTGATGCTGTCATTGGTCTGTGTTGCACAATGACTACGGTAAAGGTGTCGTGTGGCACTCTTGCGGAAAAAGACATCATCTGTCAAAGATGATGTACCTGTCAGAGAAGACCTGGAGCATTATACTGTAGCGATTCTGTCTTCTTGAGATAGGTACAATATTTCTAAGATGGAGAGGACATCTGAACCTTTCCTGCTTGTGTCTGATGTTTCTAAAACTTCACTTCTTTCCCTGAAGCGTAAATTCTAATACTGCTTTTACCAGCCTAAGTTTTTCAGAAGTTCATTGTACTGCTCCAATAGACATCAGACGTTTTTTCCACTTCAGCTGTTAATTCCCTAGTTATGTTTGAAAGGAATGTTTAAAAAGAAAATTTCTCTATAACTGGCTGATCTGCAGGAATAAAATGTCTTTCAAGCTGGATGGGTTTTTTTTTGCTTGCACACTGAAGCATATTTTCTATGGGAATGAAATCTAGGCAGCTCAGCTTTGCTAGTATTGACTCCAACAGCTAACAACCAGCCCTGTGCTGTAATGGTGACTTGAGCTCAGCAGTTGGTCACTAATAAATGAAGCAGCAGTGCTGCATGCTACCTTCTTAATGAGACAGTATATTACCTGGTGTTCTGTAACTGTTCATAAAGTACTTCTTAATCTGTTTTTTTTTTTATTATGGATAATGGCCTTTTTCTTTTTAATGTCCCAAGAAGAATACATAACACTTAAACTGCAAGTGCTCCTCTTTATTTGATGGACCCATGTAAGGCAAACTGCAATTTGAACATTTCCCACATACCTTGCTTTTGGGAAACTCACAGTCATCTGCCAGCACTTAGATTTCAGTTCAGCTAAAAAGTTCTTAAGATTCCTCAGCGTGATTTCCCCCTTCTGGCATTATCAAGGACTGCTCTTGGCTTCGGCATGATACCAGATGCTGTCAGACCACAGTCAAATGATTCTTACTACCTCAGTAAACAAATGTGAATCATCTTGTGGTGTCAAGTAGCTGAAAAAACACATTAAAAATCAATTTGATGTAATTTGAAGGTAAGTTTGTATGTGAGTAGGTAAGAGTTGTTATGGTAATTATTATTGTAAATGTTTCTAACTGGCTTTGATCAGAGAATCTGCCCGTGGGAGTTACCTTATGACTGTTAATTTTGCCAATGTCCCGGTAAAAGCATTGCCCAGCATTAAAAAACCTGGACACCTGTAGAACTCTTCCTGAAGGCACCTAGATCTGTCTTCCTTATCAGTCTTCTCTCAGATATACCCTGAAACATTAGGCAGCCTATTTGGAATCAACTCTTCTCCAAATAAAGGTGGGTAGATACATGTCATTCTGTTTCAGCAGTCTTAATATCTAGAGACTTTGAGGTTTTATTATTTTTTTATTATTTTTAGGAACCTGTTGATGTAGTGTGTTGGAGCATCCATTGTAAGTAAAGGTGATGCTGAGTGGCTGGTGCAAAACTCTGACAGGGCAGCTCACGACTGACAGCTGCTGGTGAACAAGAGAGCTGCCCGGAGACCCTCCCAAACTGCAGGCAAGCTTTGACAGAGAGAAAGCATGAGCTGGCAGAAGACAAGCAGAAGAGCTAAATGAATAGGCTATGTATCCTTTGGATTTTATTGAGGTGGATGTTTGTGGCTCCTTTTGTTTTTTTTTCACACAGGCCAGTGCTGAGGTCTGGGTGAATTGGATGCAATTCTGTGAATTAGGACTGCGTTGAGTGCACATTCATGGAGGGAGCACCCTAAAAACCCACACAGTCAGAAGATGGATAGAGCTGTGGTGCTAAAGAAAAGCAAGGAAAATAAAAAGAAGGACTCTTCTTAGGCATGCTTTTCTTGGGAGACTGAGGTAATGCAAAACAGTTTTAAGGGTGATTAAGGGGTTAGATATGACTTCAGGATACAGACCTTAAGGGCATCATCTACAGTTTGGAACTAAGCAGCAAGTGGTAGCGATGAGCTGGAAGGAATAATTGCAATCCTAATAACTGCTTAGAGGAGTAACTTTATTCTCCAATTACATATAGAGCAATCACCCAACAGTTGTCATGGCCTGTGAGTTGTCAAAGATCTGGAAATCCAGATGGATTCTTTCTTTCTCCTAAAGTAAGGAAACACGAGCTTAGAGAAGCAACTGTGAGCAGTGACTCCAAACAGAAAAAACATATGTGTGAGCTGCTACTCTCTTGGCTGTGTATCTACTTCCTTTGATAGCATCACTAAACATATGCAGAGGCTGTAGAGGCTCTTCCATCCCTTTCCTTTTATAATCATCTAGTATGCTAACAGCCATCATGTTTCCATTTGGAAGAGAGTGCCTCCAGGAACGGCGGATACTAAACACTAGAGCTGGCCTCTGCCGATGCTATCTAGTTCATCAAGGAAAGCCCAGAGGTTTATTTTTAAATCTAGGATTTTACATCCTACATGTTGGATGTAGCATAATAAAGTCCAGGCTACCTGGTGGAATTATCTAGGAGTTGTCTATACCAGACTTCTTCCACTGCTGCTTATTATTCCTTCCTCCCTTGTTTCCATCTCTCTTGGCAATAGATCTGTTAAGCTTCTCTCTCACCCTTGAATCATGGTCCCCAAACTGTTGCTAGGACTTCAGAGTCCCTTTTTGTTTGTGTTTTAAGTAGCTGGAAGAAGCACTTGGCTTCTTACTATGCTAGTGTCAAGAGAAACAAGCCCAGGATTCTCAGTCGGTACCTTCACCTAAGTACTTCCAGTTTTGCCTCAGTGAGAAATGGGATTCTCTGCTTCGTTTACCAGATTCTGATTAGGTTTATGTAGGACAGTTCTCATGCTGTCCCATCAGTCTCTGGCCTGCTGTGGAGATGAACCTCTATGCTTTCTCACTCGCTTGCCCCAAACCCCACACTCTCAAATTTGTTAGGTAGAGGGTTGGGGGGAATTTCTTTCTACTCCTCCTTTAACATGAGCAGTGAAATGATCAAAAGTTCTTGCACATGTCTATTAGAGACTTATCTTTGTCCCTGAAGATAAAGCCGAAGTCGCCTCCAACCCAAATGAATGAAGTTCAAAGGAGAAAAAGTCTTGAATAGCATCAGAAACAGCATGTTGGTTATGTGAGGTGTGTATTGAAAGTCCCACAGCAAGAATTCCTGAGTGTTATCTGTTTAAATACCTTTAAATATATTTAAAGCCCGTCTCTCAAGGAGCCACTGGATGACAGGTGCCTATGTGCATGACTGCCTTTTAAAAAAGCTCCGAGCTTTGTGATCGTTTGTGATCTGAGCTGCTTGTGAGACTGACATTTGCGAGAGAAGCAAGGATTCATTTCATTGCGTCTGAACTTACTGATCTGGCCTGATGCAAGCTGAGGACCAGACCTCTCTGCCTTCACAGTCTCCCCAGTCCATTAGTAAACTAGTTTGAAATGTAATGGAAAAGCAGGTACAGAGACAAGGAAATGTTTAACTTGATTATGCTCATCAGTAGCAGTAATCTATTCACACAGAAGCATCCCAGGGGTTAGTGATGTGCTATTTTTTAAGGCTGTCCTGCCTGCAAGTTATTAAATGCTCTAAGTTATTTATAAGCATCATTTGTAATAAGTCCCACAGACAGTGATGGGCATTTAACTTTTTAATAACTCGCAAAAGTGTTTGTGATGTGGGACAGTTAACATATCTGTAGCTTCTTGGTGTGTGCCCTTCAATTTAATAGCTTATGGATCTAAAGTTACCTTGGATTTTTCCTTCCAGCACAATTCAGGATCACCCATGAGACATATTTTCAGGGCTAGCTGGCATGTTGCAATTCTGTGGGCAATACAAGAACTGCAAGGATGTTGCAGAAGAGCCACAAACTGCCTCAAAACTAGGCAAGTTTGGTAGACCCTGATGTTTTTCAATGGCAACCTCTATTTCTAGCTGCACCAAAATACACTGTGAAGAATTGATCTCCTTACAGGAGATGCATAAACCTCTTGCAGTCACCTTTTCTAGCATGCAAAAAAGCGGCATCAGCAAGTCCACCAAAGTGGTTCTGCTGGTCTCGACAATGCTGCATGACATACTCTGCAGTTTGGGCTCATGTCCAAAGGCCCCACGGTAGGGGATCTCACATGTACCTGCATCTGGATTCCTTGGCTCTTCCAGTAACTGATGGGGTGCTGGAACAGCGTGCGCAGCCCTGGCAGGGAGCAAGTTGCTGGCACTGGAGGAATGACACTGACAGCACCTGAGCAGATCTTATTTGTGAAATGGACCTTAGAGGTGCCCAGTCCTGGTGTGAAAAATAACCACGTTTAGACAGAGGAAGGAAGTTGAGTCCTTGGACTCATTCAGCCCCTTTTTATTGCTACAGATGCTGCCAGTAGCCTTCTTCACTGGGAGACCTGTCTGAAGCAGTTGAAGCTCAAAGTGTACCTTGGCAGGGGCCCAAGTGCACAGGATATGTGTTCAGACCTGGCATCTCAGTGTGCATTCAGGCTCCCTAGGTCCTTCTGCCTCCACAACGGGCCACAGGCACCTTTTCCCAGTGGCCTTCGTATATATTTTGTCCCTGCTGCTTAAAAGTATTTTAGAACCGCAACCCTCAGAAAAGTTAATTGCAGCAGTGGGGTTTGACCATGAAGGTAAGTGAAAAGAGATGGGGCTATTTTGTGCTCCTCACACACACAGAGCATGGAGAGGGAGGGTAGCATTCCCAGAGGGTCAAACTTGAGTGTTGTACTCAAGGCTGCAGAAGGCTGGGAACCCGCATGGCTGATAGGAACTGTTTCAAGGCCACTTTTGGAACTGGGGAGTGTGCTGGGCTGGTTGGGGTGAGCACCAGAGTGCCCAAGGATCCACTGAAGGCAAGGGGTACTGAGAATACAAGCCAGCTCTGACAGCCACTAAGCCCAGTCTTAATAGCCCCTTCCTTGTGCTATGAAATCCAAGCTGGTGCCTCACACACACAAATGCTACTCCCAAGGAAGAGAGCCCTGTGTTGAAGGAGTTTCCCATTTCCATAACCAAATGGCAGCCCCAGTGTTATTTCCTCCCTGTGTCAAGTTGGCATGTAAGCCAATAAAAATCCCTGGGCTCACATCCTTCCCAGAAATGCCAGTCAAAACCCAAGGAGCTATTCACCCAAAGTACCAATTTTATAGTTCTGTGTGTGTCTATAATCTATTTACCAGCATTCCTACTTCAGTATGTGCCTGTTAATAAGATTAGTAATTAAAAAGCTTGATAGGAATTGGCAAGCATAGCTCCTCCGCCTTTCCCTCCCCTCCAAGCCGGGCTGGCGTGGAGTCTGAGGCAGGGCTGGCAGAGTACCTGAAGGAGTGAAGGCAGGAAGGTTCTGCTGAAACCTCTGCCTGCAAGTAGGCAATGGAGAAATCCCGGCCACTATGGGACAATCCCGTGCAGTTTGTTTTCGCCTGCATTTCCTATGCTGTGGGGCTGGGAAATGTGTGGAGGTTTCCGTACTTATGTCAGATGTACGGAGGAGGTAAGTGTGCCTTACGTTTCTTGCTTCCCTCGAGGAGGAGTGTGACAAACTTTAGATCCGAAAGTATATTGTCTGTGCTAAAATGCCCTGTCCACCCAGCAGGGTCCAGGGCAGAGCAGCAGGAGGTCAGGCTTTCTGTTGGTGTGCAATCTCTTCTATTGCTGCTTTATTTTACGTATTCTTTAGCATAAAGCTTTTGCCTGACAGCTGCCCCAATAAGGTGGCACTCATTCCTAGAAGTGCAGGGAAACAGTGGGAAGGCCCATGTTTTGTACAAAGGATGGAGGCAGAGTGAGAGATGTAGGTCCCCATGGTATTAATCTATTACTTTCTTGCCCCGATGAAGCACTCTGAAGGCATCAGAAATTAGTTCAGTTTCTTCTTGGTTCACTTGGAACATATTGAGAAGGAGAAATGCTTATGCTGATTAAATTTAAGGATCATCTGTATCATTTCAAGTCGCTGTCATTAATGTGTTGTCTCTTTTACAAAGCCTTACTTTAGGAAGCCTTACTTTAGGAGGTGATAACTTGGCTGCAAATCTGCCTTGAAGTTGGCTGAAACTCCTTAATCAACAGGAGTTCCACAGCTAAAGCCTTCTGGGAAGCTTTGAAAACATGGAATAAATTGGTTTGGGCTTAAAAAAAAAAAAAAGCTCTTTGAAAGTTTATCGCTCTCCTGGGTCCAAACTGGAGAAGGATGATGTCTGTATCGTATACCAGCCACCGATGATCTTCCTTAGAAATCAAAAGGCAGTTAATCAAATTAATTGAAAAACAACACTAATAATCTCTTCTAGTGTACAGCTGCCACTGGTTAAGGAGCATGTTTTGAAGAATTCTTATAAAGAGCCTCTCTTTATAAAACATCCTGGTTTTATACTGCTGATTGTGCTGCGTCTATTGTTGTAGACTTGGACCTGTCTCGGTTGCACATTAAGTGACATGATGAGCATCTGCCTCATTTGCTTCTGGTCTGCTTCCGTTTATTCTTCCTTTAAGGAGGAAACATGCTGAGAGGTTTAAGTGCTTTTCACTTGTTTTGTGCTTGTTTTCTTGGCTTTCAGCTTGCTTTTAAATGCACTTGTGCTGGTAGGTTCATGCCGGTTGTTGAAAAGCCATCTCAGTGCTGGGATGGTATCAGAGCTGGGATCGGGTCAGAAAAATCAAGATAATACAGTGGGTGAAATTACAGTAGAAGCTATATGCTGCAGTGGCCGAAGCTTTCTTAGATGCTTCAGATAGCAGACGTGGTAGACGTGCAGCAATTCTGTGTGTATTACTCTACACAGATGCTTTTGAGGGTAATGACTTCATGTCTGACACTGAACTCTAGTAAAGAGCTTAAAATTCAAGTGTTTCTGTACACAATTAAACTGAATGTGATTAGTTCAGTAGTAGCCTGTCTTGGCAGACATCCTGAAGGACAGCAAACCTCAGACATGGGGGTCTTTGTGTGTTATTCTCTTCTTGTCAGCTGTCAGTAGTGTAGTAGGTGGTGAAAATTCTCTGAAATGTCACCAAAACTGGAACACTCGATTAACCAGAAAAAAAAAAAAGATTCAATAAACCCAAGTATTTTCTGAAAAGCATATTTTCGTAAGAGTAGTTTCTCCACTGTTTTTGTCCTCCCTGGTTAGATTTCTCAGGGGAGAGGCAACTCTCCCTACTGTGAAACTAGTACTCCCAACAGCAAGCTTTGCATTTCTTCATTGTTTTTCACTGCCCTCTTAAAAAGGATTCAGTGGCTTTCTGGAGGTCTGCAAAATCCACACAGACAAAACATCATTTCAGCAACTTAAAGGCTGGCTATGCCAGGCACTGGGCTTAGGTGGGATGCCAGCAACTGCTTGCTTGGCATCTTCCTTGCGGAAAAGCTCAGAGCCGGTCCCCTGTCCTGCCCAGCAGATCAATAGCACTCTTATCGCTGATGATACTCATAAACAGGTTATTTGCAGCCTTTACAACCTCCTGCCTTTCTGTTCATCAGCATATTGCCACCTGCTCCTTGCTCACCTCCAGAGAGCTTGACCCGAACGGAGCAAGGGGAGTTCAGACCTCGTAGGTGCAGTTAGTCTGTCCGTAAGCAGGCTGGGCCAGGCCGAACGACACTGGGATGGGTTTACAGCAGTGTGGGTGCTCAGCAGCACCCAGCCCTGAGCAAGGAGGCCCCTGGGCGCCAGGCGGGATGCTGAGCAGAGGCGAGGGTGCTGCTGGGCAAATCTGGTGCCTCGACCAGACCCGGAGCAGGCTCCACGTGTTGTGCCAACTGCAGGGGTCTGGCCTGGGGCTGGCTTTCACAGGTGGTTGGCACCGTAGAGAGCAACGCTGGTGTAAATGAGCAGGGAGGTCAGTGGAGCTGTGCTGGTTCACAGCAGATAAGGAGCTGGTTCGTACAGCTGCCCTGAGTCACTTACACGAAGCATTTTGGTTTTACTCTTTATGAAAAGCAGTGTCGGGCAAGACCTGCATCCAAACAGGGTGCAGAGCAAGGGGCAAGGGGCTCAGCCCTGGCACCCCCAGCTGCTGGGGGACACTGGGGTGAAGAGCAAGCCTGGAGACACTCCTCTTCCTTGCAAGCTGGCAAAGCCAACACCAAGCACGCGGCAACACTGCTGGGAGGGTGGAAAAGCCTTCGCAAAGGGCCCGGTGCTGACATCCCCACCGTGGTACATGGCAGAACTCCCCTCGGCAGCTGCTGGGGCAGCTCGCTCCCTGCTGGGACGGAGCGGCTGCGGGAGCTCTTACACCTCTGGCAGCTCCCTTGCGGCATAGGAAGTTATCTAACAGACTAACAAAGGGGTTGTTAATAATGATAGAGCCGGGAGGTGGGAAATTAATTCCCAGAATAAACCGGATTATTGCTCAGTGTTTATTTCCAGTTCTTTGCCTTGGTCGTTGCTCAGAGTTCATTCCTCTGTGGCGCTGCACCAAGCCCATTGCAAGGAATGTTAATGCCACAGATTAAATCCTAAACAAGAGATATTTACGTAAATATTTTTGGCTTGCTGTAAAAAGGGAAGCAGGAAAGCCTTTGCAAAAATCCAGGTTTTGACTCAGTCAGCAGCTCTTTCTGAAGTGAGGCCCAAGTTGAGGACAAGGATTTTTTTATTTTCCAGCAGAAACTTAAGCCAAAGCGCATCCTGGTTGCTGGATGGGAGGGTCCTTTCTCCTCTCGCTGCCTGCTCATCTGTGTCTGCTACTCCTCTTCTGCAGGAGCATCCCTGTGGCTCTCCATGCTGGGGAAGCGAGGGCAAGCAGATGCTGGGCAGGAGGCGGCTGTGTGCCTCCGTCCCAGGGTCTGCTCCTGCAGGTGGGACCTTGAGTAAAAGTCTTCACCCCTTTGCTGAAGTTTGCAGGCTCAGCATGGGGTTTTGAGGGAGGTTTTGTAGTTGTTGGGGTTTTTTTTTAAGCCTTCAATATGTTACTCAAAACTCTATTCAACAATGAAATTGCTGTTACTTTTTCATTGAGCGCTTCGGCTCTGCCTCAGAACACCGCACACAAAGTAAATCTTTCCCTTGTCCTCCTTCTCTCATTATCTTTTACAAGGTTTGGCTAGTGGTTAGTTACCCTTTAACAGCCCCAGTCCCGAACATTGCTCAAACTGCCTGCGGAGCACCTGGGCAGCCCCGCTGCACCAGGGTTGCAACCGGCACAGTTTAACAGCTGAAATCCCAGCGCTGCCAAGTGCGCGTGGAAAATTCCTCAAGCCCAGGCGCTCGGTGCCCGCTGGCATCTGGACTGCCACCTGAAACCCCGTGAGATGTCTCTCAGGGTGTGCCGTGCCCTCAATATACAAGGTGCCCGGACAAGACCCAGCCCCAGTCACCTCCTGGGACACTAATGGGGCAATTCAACCACAAATAGGGCAACCTGGTGTTTTTTATGCTGCTGACCTGCTGAAGGCTGTCTATTGGGTTTTTCTTGCAGGTGGTTTTTTGATCCCATATTTTATCATGCTGATTGCTGAGGGGATGCCACTGCTCTACCTGGAGCTGGCCGTGGGGCAGCGCATGCGTCAGGGTAGCATCGGTGCCTGGAAAATAATAAGCCCCTACCTCTGTGGTGTCGGTATGTTCTCAGTTTTCATCTTTATTTTCAAGCGCTTGGAGAATGCGAGTGTTTTTTGAGTGGAGAGCTTTGTCTTTCAGTGTAGAAAACAGGCATGAACTGGAGTTTTACTGGGTCTCACCAGGGTGAGTAAAGTGTTATCCAGATGCCCCACAGCAATCATTTACCCAGTTCCTCACAGAGTGCTGGAGCCAGACCCACCCGGGGCACGGAGGTGTGAGTCCCCCTGCCCTCAGGAAGACTGCCAAAATCACCCTGTGAAGGCCAATGCTTAATCCAGCCTCTGGGGCTGCCCCCCAACCCACCCACCCAACACCCCCGGGCTTTGACTCCGAGAGCATCATCTTGAGAGCTCAATAGTTAGTAATAAAACAGTGCCTTAATTTCCTGCCATCGCTGCCTACTGTTTACCAATGTCAGCTCTTAGCTACGTTATTAAGTTATTCAATTACCCTGATAGCCCAAATTATCTCCAATTTGCTTACAAGCACATTTTCTTTTTAACAATACATTGAATATTCACCCCTCAACGGCTAAAGTGTAAAATCCCGTGCAGGATAGCTCTGACGGGAGGAGGGGGAGGATGCAGCAGCAGGGGAATGCCCTGTGCATGGGGCTGGGCAGAGGCAAAGCCTCCACGGGGCGTCACGGGACACTGGGTGCTTCGGGGGTTTGCCACTGACCGAGCACCTCCCTCCATGCCCGCAGGCATTGCCAGCGTCGTCGTCTCCTTCTTCCTCTCCATGTACTACAACGTGATAAACGCCTGGGCCTTCTGGTACCTCTTCCACTCCTTCCAGGTGCGTGGGTGCTTGGTGGCACGGCTTGGCCCTGCCGTGGCCGTGGAGGGTTGCAGTGGCTTTGTCTCGGTGCTGGATGTTGCCTGGCGCCGTCATCAGCTGGGAACAAAAGCTCCAGAAACTCACCCAGGGTTTTTCTGTGGTGAAAAAATGACACAAGGGAATCCCTCTCTGGGGGCTTCCCAGGAGCATTGGCGTTTCTTCTCAAAAACGTAGACTAAGGCCAGCCCTCTGATGCCTTGCTTACATATGCCTTTGTGGCCATGGTGTCCTGTGTCCTGGGGTGGGCCTATCCAAAGCCAGGGGAGAGTATCAGGAGAGTCATCCCCAGGGAAGAGAGGCAGAGTGGGTCTGTCCTTAGGGAGAGGATCAGAAAGGGTCAGTCATCAGGGAGAGAGTCATACCCAGGGAAGAGATCATGCCCAGGGGAGAGGGTCAGCCCAGCCCCAGGCAGCATAATGCAGGGACAAGCAAGCCCGGGGTTCAGAAAGGTCCCCATCCCATCCTCATCTCCCCATCCTACACTGGTGCCCGGCTCTCCCTGCCATGTTGGCGGCAGGCACTCACCCACCTTCTTCCCTCCCTCGCAGGACCCTCTGCCTTGGGCCACCTGCCCCCTGAACAGCAACCACACCGGCTATGAGGAGGAGTGTGAGAAGACATCGTCCACCCAGTACTTCTGGTACCGGCAGACGCTGAACATCTCTCCGTCGCTGGAGGCCAGCGGGAGCATGCAGTGGGAGCAGGTGCTCTGCCTGACGCTGGCCTGGCTGGTGGTCTACCTCTGCATCCTCCGTGGCACCGAGTCCACTGGCAAGGTGAGAGGCGGGTACAGCCCTGTCAAGCACCAGCAGGATGTGGGGAGGATAAATAAGTGCCAAAAAGGCAGTGGCCATGGCTGCTGTCACCTGGGGTTATGGCATCTTCCCCTGAGCAGCTGGCCCCGCTGCCTCTGCCACCCTGCCAAATTGCAACTGAAGAAGGCTCAACCAAAGCACTGAATGATATTTAAAAAAAATGAAATCACCAAACCCAGGCAGTCCTGTACATGTAGACACCTCTGCTGCAAAACCAGCCACTAGGCTGCTGGCCCTGTGGAAAGCTGCCTGCCGCAGCAGAGACGTGTCAGGAGACGTCTGTTCCTCAGACATCTTTGCAAGAAAATAAAAAGACGTCTAACGGGCGTTTTTGCTCGCTTTTTATTCACAGCAGAAGTTATGAGGCGGGGGGCAGGGCGGGGGGGGAAGCAATGTCCCAGCTGAGCCTGCACTAAGCAGCAAGTTGAGGGCTGTAATCCCCAAATCGCCTTAGCCGAACGCTGAAAGCCAAGAGACTGTAAACCAAGAATAACCTCTCAAACTCGCTGCAGCTGGCTTTAGGTGTAAAAAAGAAAGAAATAGGCCGGGAGTACTGAAACGGTGTCATGAAGGCAGGGTCTCAGCAGGGGGAACATGGGGGCTTCCTTAGCATTCCTTGTGCAGGAACAGCTGTGGTTTTGGGCGCTGGGCACAAGGCTGTGCCATTGGGGAAGATGAAGCTGCTGCATCTCCAGGTCTATGATGGGGAAAGGCAGATGCCAGCTGGCAGTGCAGGCAGGTGCGAATCAAAGGAATATTTGGTGATTACCCAGCCAGTTCTCTTCCCAAGACCTTGGGAAGGCATGTTTTTTGTGAGTTAGTTTTTTGTGTAAGTTTCAGAGTGAGTCATTGGGGTACATTGCAGCAAAGAGAAGGTGATTGGGTTCTCCCTTTTTTTTCCCACAGGTGGCTTTTTCCAACGTGGAGATTGAACATTTAAATTCAAATTCAGGGGTTTGATCAAAAGCTCATGGAAGACCACTGAAAGATGTACTTCCTCCCCCCCACCCCCCATCTGCATTACATTAAGTTAAAGTCTTTTTCACACCTGAATTAAAATAGTTTCATTCAAGTTTGATTCTTACCTTTTATGAGGTCTGCTCATCTTCCTCCTTGAGCAGATGATAGATGAGCCTTGCCTAGTGCCCTCTTGACAGATGATTGCAAACTGGTGGTACTCCACAAAATGCTGCAGAACTGAGTTTGTAAATGCTGTGTATATTTTAGATTTTGTTCTTAATTTTCTAGTAAAGATTGGAAAAATCTCCCAAGAGAAGACCCTGGGAATAGTAGCATAGATCTTTATTAGTAATAAAACTTTATTATTAATAAAACCTTGTTTCCCTAAAACCCTAAATCTAAAGTTAGATTTATCTGAAAATATTTCTTTAAACATTAACACAAGGTAGCAAACACAATAATGGAATTTTTTTATGTAAAGGAAGTGAGAAAGAGCTAATCTACTATGATCAGTTTTGCATATTCTTTAGGCCAAGGTATGTCCCCTCCTTCCCCCAGGTCGTCTATGTAACAGCCTCTTTGCCATACTGCGTTCTCATCATCTACCTCATCAGAGGATTAACGCTTCATGGAGCTGTGAACGGGCTTGTCTACATGTTCACACCAAAGGTAGAGTAAAACCACCCTGAATTTTTCATTAAATGTTTTTTAGTCACCGATTGTGTAGGTTTTTAAAAGGTGGTGATGCTCCTTTTCCTTGTATTGGATTTTTGAGCAGTAGCTTAGGTCAGGCAGCTGGAAACCCCAGCTGGGAGCAGCTGAAGGCTGTTCTGCCACAGTGCTCCTAAGCCGCGTGCTTTCTTCTGCAGAAAAAGACCTGCCCATTACCATAACCTCTAGCACATGGTTTCCAGATTGGGCAGCAACCCTGCCCAAAAAACACCCCTGAGCTAAAATGAGTGTGTGAAGGGGCCCATCTCCGTCCCCACGGGCTGGAAGGGGCAGCGGCGGGCATCCTTGCGCATCTTCATGCTCCCGCTCTCCCTGTCCGATTTTGCAGCTGGAGCAGCTGTCAAACCCCAAGACATGGATCAGCGCTGCCACACAGATCTTCTTCTCGCTGGGCCTGGGCTTTGGCAGCCTCATCGCCTTTGCCAGCTACAACGAGCCCAGCAACAACTGCCAGAGGCACGCCATCATCGTCTCGCTCATCAACAGCGCCACGTCCATATTCGCCAGCGTTGTGACTTTCTCCATCTACGGCTTCAAGGCGACATTTAACTACGAAAGCTGTGTCAACAAGTAAGAGCCTGCTATTTCACCTGTTCTCCATCACAAGCTGTTCTGAGGAAGGTAAGAGAGGGGAGGCAAATAAAAACCAGGACACAGCACTACCCTGAGACCAAACCTGATACTGCTCTAACAAAGCTAATGGTGCAGTTGACAGCGATGAAGGTTGAGATACAAGGTCAGAGCTGATGTGCCTTTTGACACCTGGGTGCTGCTTTCAGGCATGGGCCTGGGCGAGTCACAGCGGTGCTTTCCCCTGCACCCGTCACAGCACAGGCTTTGGAGGGGGAGTGGGGTGGCGATTACTAAAACGCGATGATGCTCAGATCCCCCTGTTTAAGGCTAAGCCCTGTGCCAGGAGCTCAGCCTCCTTGGTGGTGGTGCTCTGGAGGTGCCCAGCAGCCTGCAGGATCGTGCCCCAAGGCAGCAAGCTTGCATGTGGTCCCTGGCACCAGGCCCACGGCAGTTATACTTTTACTCCGTTTTTACAGCTTTCAATATATCTGCTGATCAGAGAAGAAACCAAGCTGCTAGTCCCTGCTCGTTACCAAAAGGCTCATTAAATTGGTGGGGTGTGGATGTGGGACTGGAGGGCAACAGGGAAGAGATGCCAGCTGGCACTGGCCAGCACCCAAAATACCTGCCTGGGAGCAGCAGTGTGGGTTTGGAAGCTGCTTCCCCTGAAGCAGAGATGAGCGGAAGGTTGCCCACATCCCAACATCGCGCTGGAAGTACTGCAGGTCCCACCTGGGGAGGCTGGAGCCCTGGGGCTGGTGGAGCATCCCCATGTAGGGGCTGCTGGAGGAGATATAAAACTGGCATCAATTTTATACGTTGGCCTGAAAGCCATTACATTCCTAAAATCTTTCCCAGCGTGATCCTGCTGCTGATGAACACGTTTGACCTGGAGGAAGGCTCTTTAACAGCAGACAACCTCAATGAGATGAAAGACTACCTCACGGCCACCCACCCACAGGAATATGCCCAATTAGTGCCGCAGCTGAAAAACTGCAGCTTGGAAGCTGAACTAGACACGGTGAGTCACTGCTCTGTGCTGGCACCAGAGTTTCGCTCCCTTCTTTCCTCTCACTGAGCCCGGGCACCCCTCAGCCCCTCACGGGCACATCCCACAGCCCCCCAGCACCCGCCTGGCCAAAGGCTGTGGTGGGGTTCATTTCTGCACCTCAGGATGGGGCAGGGGGCACTGGCTCATCCCGGCAAGGGGCTCGCTTGGCTGGCTAGCAACTGAGCCGGGTGGTGATGCAGCTGGACTGCTGGATGCAGCTGCGGGACAGGACAGGTCGCAAAGGTGTGGGGCAAACGTTTTCGCTACAGGCAGGACTGTGCCAGTTTCTATCCACTTTAAACAGATTGGTCAAGGTCTTATCTGCCTCTGCTGTGCAGAACCACCACGATGGGTGTATTTGGTCATTGTGGAGGATCAGTCCCATGTGTTCTTATGTTCCTTATCGAGCTGAGGAGCTGCCCGTAACTCACTTCTTCCCCCGCTTCTCACCCACAGGCCGTCCAGGGGACAGGACTGGCATTTATAGTCTATTCTGAAGCCATCAAAAACATGGAGGTACCCCAGCTGTACTCTGTGCTCTACTTCTTCATGCTGCTGATGCTGGGCATCGGCAGCATGCTGGGAAACACTGCTGCCATCCTCACGCCACTGACAGACAGCAGGGTCATTGCTGCCCGTTTCCCCAAGGAGGTGATCTCAGGTAAGCACCTACCATGAGCAGCACAGGCCACGCAGGGAGAGAGCATGTGTGTGCAAACGCTTTGGTGTCCCACAGGTGTTGAGGGGGGGTCCCTCTTTGACCTCAGGTGAAGCAGAGAGCATCAAATATGCTGCTGGAAGGGTTTGCCTGCCTTTAGGAAATCCTGCCTGGCCCTTTCCCTCAAGAGCTCTCAACGCACCAGGGCAATCGTGGCTGTGTATTTGCAGGCTTCCCAGCACACCTCAACTCCTCCAGACTGGTGTCTACTGACAGGCCAGGAGATGTGTCAATATACCTGCAGTGAGGGGCTCTTCAATCTCATCACTAGTATCCGAACTGTGAACCAGCTCAGTCTTTAGTCAAAAGTGATATGCCCTCCTGCTGGGGCATGGAAATCAGTTGTCCCACCTTAAAACCTGTTGTAACTGGATGCCCAGCAGCAACAGCAGACGCTGCGCACACAGAGGACAAGGTTACAGCCAAGACTCAGTTGTCTTTGCCGCACCAATGTGCTGCAGCTGTGCAGGTCTGAGGAGCAGCAGCTTAAGGATACACCAGCATGTTCACACCCCCCCCAAACACAGAGCCAGGTCTTTTCCAAAGGGCAAAGAAATTATCTTTCTCTTCTGAGAAAGCTGCTCCCAAACAGAAGTCAGTAGAAACCACCAGCTTTTTAGCCACAACAATTACAATTTCCAGATGTAACAGGAGGGTCCCTCTTTTATCCCCACAGGTGTTGTGTGTCTCATTAACTGTGTGATTGGCCTGATCTTCACCATGGAAGCTGGAAATTACTGGTTTGACATCTTCAATGACTACGCAGCCACGCTCTCGCTGCTGCTCATCGTGCTGGTAGAAACCATTGCTGTGTGTTATATCTACGGGCTAAGAAGGTAAAACCTCAGACCCTTCTTTCTTCATAGCAGGGGCGCGGCCACTGGCCAAGAGACATAGGGCCAAGAATAAAAATACCACCTCGAGCTAAATTCTTCTCCTGCACTATGGTATCAGCAAGGCAATGGGGTCTCCCCTGCCCTGCAGGCCCCTTCCAGACCCTCGGGTTCAGGGCTGAGCACCTTCTGCCACAACTCTGCTTCTCCTTTGCTTGTAACTCAGCGTGAGCACAACAGCGCCAGTAAGCCTGGTTTCAGAGATGGTGACCTTGCACATCGCTGCTCTCCCAAGTCATCCTGTGTGGGTAAAGCAAGACTCAGCCTCAGGAAAGGTTTTACACAGCAGAGGTGTTTGCACTCAGGGCATCTAAGGGAAAAGGTTTTAGTATTGGCTTTGTTAGTCCACTAGCGCAGCATGTGTACCAACGCCTCCATGGGCACCAAGTCCTTGATGAGTCCAAAGCCTTCAAGTCAGATCCAGGTTTCCTGTGTGATATCCAATACCATCCCGAGCATTAGCACTCCCTCAAAGACAGTCAAGTAACAGTGGCAAGAACGGAAACACAAAACCAAGCAGTTTTCTCCACAGTACTTAAGCATCACTGCTTTTCTCTGTCAGCCTGCATCAGTAACAGTCTGAACTTACACTCCAGGCAGAATTTTGTTGGGACTTTTCCCTACTGTACCTATTTCTAGCTATTCTTCCATGATTTGGGATCCTCTTGGAAGCCCTTCTTTTTTTATTTGATTTTACTCTCACTATGTGATCTTGGTGATCCAGTTCTTCAGACAATCTCTCTCTGCTCTTTAGTCTCCTGGATAACTATACTCCCCTTGCCTATTTTACACATTTAATTCTGTAGGTGATTTTAAATTAATTCATATCAAGGTATCAATTAAACACATGCAACTGTTCACAAAAATATATTTATTTTTTTTTAAACGCAGATTTGAGAAAGACCTTCACACCATGATCGGACGCAAGCCAAACTGGTATTGGAAAATTATGTGGGCTTTTGTTAGCCCTTTGCTGATTGTAAGCTTATTTATATTTTACCTCACCGACTATATCCTCACAGGAACACTGCAATACCAAGCATGGGATGCCACACAGGTGAAATAGTTTGGGGTTTGAGTTTTGGGTTTGGTTTTTTTTTTAAACTTTCCTTAATTCCTGCAAGTACATAGCCTTCCTTCCTAACCCCATCGTTCCACTAAACTGCCTTCTGAAAGCTTGCAGCTGGAGCTGGGGCCATCCCTTAATTTTGTGGAATGGTAAAACAGGAAAAACTTGACCTAGTGACAACAATGCCACGGTTCTGTAAAATGGATCAATTTCCCTCTACAATTCTTAATCAACCCATTCAAACACTAAAATTTTATTCATGTTGAAGACCCAAACATAATTTTAAAAAATACGCTTTAAACAGAAAAATTACTTTCAAACTGTAGTATCTTGAACAAAATTACTGGTATTTTAACAGAACTGAGCTGCTGCTGGAATAAAGTTTCCATAATTTCCATATTCTTTTTCCTCATGGCCAAAACACTTTTGTACGAATGCTTAACTGTGAGTTTGTCACAGAGGAATTATCAGTGGATAAGTAATCAGTGGTTTCATAACCTTTTGTGGAAATGTTCCTAGCATGCAGAAACAAATCACACACATGGTTTTCATGTCATGGCTGATTTGGGACCTGTGGCAGGCCCGCACTGTTGACTGGCCATCAGCATGAGCCCACAGGCTCCAGGAGGGAAACACAGAGACCTGGCAGAGGTCAGTGCCGAGCCATCTCATTAAGAAACACAAACTGAGCCAAAATCTGCGTTTTACCAAACCTTACAGAAAAATTTTCCCTAATATTTTTGTCAGCAGCTCTGTTCTTAACAATTTTAAGCTTGTGTGGTTGGACAATGAAAAGCACTGATGACAGTCACAGGCTGCTGCAGCCTGCAAGTGCTTCTCAGATGTCCTGTTAAATACACAGCTTTGCTCCAGACCCCACTCCAGGATGCTGAAAACCACAGATCCCACAGATCCAATGCTTCTCTCCCTTGCAGGGGCAGCTGGTGACAAAGGACTACCCAGGCTACGCCCTGGCAGTGATCGGGCTGCTGGTGGCGGCATCCACCATGTGCATACCCCTGGGGGCACTAGTAACTTTTATAAGGAAGAGGCTGAAGAGGGAAACCGTTTCAACTGTTGCGTGAAGGCTGACAGCTGGATTTGGGAAGACCTTACCCCCATCGTCAGTGACCGGGCACTTCTGGAAGACAGCAGAAACCATTATTTGTAGCAGCTATTTATAGAGTTGAGAATCGTGGGTGCTATATTGACCAAAAAGTGCTGTTAGGAGGTTCCACAACGGTTTGGGAAAAAAAGCTCTTCTGTAACAAGATGAAGCTTTAAACTGGTCTCTGTAAGAGGGGAAAAAACAGAAGAGCAGCTCATAAAATGCTAGCTAGCACAAATTAACCAGCGTATCGATCCATTAAACAATGTTAGGTACTTTTCCACTCTGTTGCAACACTGCCTACATGGAAACATAAGCAATGTGAATGAGATACTCCCTTTCCTACAAGGGAAAAGTCAGCAGGATGGTATTCGAGATAAACGGGGCCAACACCGCTTCTTTTATACTTGTGTCCAGCAAAGCAGTTTTTATATATATAAATATATATATATACGAACTGCAGAAGTTCTCTTTATCTCCAGAAGTAAACTTTCAATTCCACTATGTAATTGTGCACTGTGCTGTACTTTGTATTTTCTAGGAATGCACTACAAGTACACTAAAAAAAAAAAATCTATGGTAAAGCTGCTTTATAAGCCCCATCCAAAGAAATGTATGCCATATCATCAGCTCTGACAAAGTTCACATCCAGGTATACTTTAATCAGGAGATGTAACTATCCAGCAGTTCCACAGAACTGGTTAATTTCCCTCTGAGAACAGCTGTATAAAGAAAACAATGTTTAAATTGTAAGCTTCTCATAATAGAAAAATATCCTATCTGTGAACTTTAAAGAGGTCACACTGAAGAACATTAGAGACACACTCATGGGATGCAGGGTCTTAACTATGTAACCATGGGAAGATGGCACGTGCCTCATAAAAAGGGATTTATTTCAAACAAACACTGCTAAAGCACACCAACACAAGTCTCTCACCCTGGGGCAAAAAGCAAGAGGTAACTACAGCCTTCAGGGGTGGGTGAAACCTTGACAATGACAACCAACACCAACACGGCATGCTTAGTCTGCAACAGCCTCTAGAAATAGGACATGCCTCCCTCCTCAGACTTCACTAACAAATGAAAGACAACTTTTTCACATTTCAGTTTATTAAAAATTGATACCATAAACAAGACCTGTACAAAAAAATATCCTAAATTGCCCAGAATTTGGTAGCAGTTGCGTGGTGAGAAGTTATCGTCTTGGGCCTCCTCTTCCTCTTCCACGACCTCGGCCTCTGCCACGGCCTCTGCCACGGCCTCTTCCAGCAACTTAGTGGATGAAAAACAAAAAGGATAAATCAAGTGAGACCCAGCAATACTTTCGTTTTGATTAAAACATTCTGCATCCAGCACAAACAACACAGTATCTCATCACAGGGAAGCAGTAAGTCAGGTATTAAGTCTGTTAGCCCTCAGGAAGTCTCAGATAACATTTTCATCTTTCGCGTTAGGTTTTTCAGTATACAACTGCCACACGCGACCGTCTGCCTGTGGATTCACTGCAGAAAACAAGGGGATACAGCGTCACAGATGACTGCTTCCCAATACTCTGACAGACAACTATGGTTTTTATTTTTTTTTGACAAAATCTAGTTTTTCAGGCATCAGAAAAAGCATATGCGAGACGAGTATTTTGTTGCTATTCATTACAGTGGAAAATATTTCTTTTTTTTCCCCACAGCTTGCACTGTGGTTTATAAAACACACTGCTAAAGGGAAACGTGAGTTTTCACACACTGTGAGATTCCCAAGCTCACCCTTTCTCAGGGACCTTGTGAAAGGGCAGCATTTTGAAAGGATCCAAACAGCTCCTACTGTTTTCAATGATGCCTCTCCCAATTCCAGATGTGATTGTCAGGCCAATATCTTGGCTGTCTGCTCCTACTTTTAAATACTGCTATTTAATGGTAAAGAGAAGACATAATCACAAAATAATTCAGGCTGCAAGTAACATGATCCATGTAACAGTAACATGTAATTTCACCCCTTTTTCCTGAAGAAATATCATCTCCTCCATCAGGGGGCAGAAATTACTAGTCAATTTCAGACAAGTTTGTCAGTGCAAGGCTCAAAAAGATACCAAGAAACTTAAAAGTCCTATAGAAGCGGGTGGCAAAAGACACAAACAGTAGCGTCCACAATCACGAGGCAGGCTGTAACAATGACTGTTCCACCTGAGCGTGTGCAGATTAGGAACGCAGAGAAGCCAGAAAGAGCGGAGGCACAGTTCACTAAGTGCCAGCACACTCAGACTCAAGGCACTTGGTGCCACATCTGTACCAGCCAGCATCCTGCCTTCCACCGGCAGTTCTGTTTGCCAAGGACAGACCGTGTGTTACACACTTTTGAAGCCCAAGGGCGTTTACAGATGAAGGCAGAGCGCCGCACAACACCGCTGCCGTCTGAGAGCGTGTCAGTGCAGTGAAGACGCCAGGAGTACGAAACTGAGGTAAACAGTGATATCACAGTTCCTTTTCTTTCTTCAAAGTTAAAAAAGCGACCTACTTATTCACGTCATGTCATGAGGTTCAGAAGAAGCGACCCAACTGCACACTGATTTCTCCAGGTGGTCAGATTATTTGTGACAGACATTAGAGGTGGAAAACGACAGCAGCCATGACACTTGCACTTCGTGATGCACACACCTGAGGGTTCCTTATACCATTTCAATAAGGTAAGCACATCAATCCATAACATACAGATCCAAACACTTGAGCACTAATTGCAGGAGAAATGGTCTGACATTATTTTAGAGCTCAATTATCTTGCACTTAAAAAGTATTATTTTAAAAAAACACAAATTAGCTGTTGGGTCAAATAAATACTGCCTGAAGACAACCTAAAGATTTTTGTGGGGTTTACTGGATGATGATGAGGATTATTATTATTATATTTAATAATAATAATAACAACAACAACAACAACAATAATAACAACAACAACAACAACAACAACAACAACAATAATAATAATGTATTTAATAATGTGGAACAATAATAATAATCTCTCTATACTGCTAGGCTTCTTGCAACAACAACAACAACAACAACAACAACAATAATAATAATGTATTTAATAATGTGGATTAAAACTGAATTACTCTCTATACTGCTAGGCTTCTAAGAGACAGGGTTTTCAACAGCCTTTTGGAAAAAAAAAGTTCCAAGAAGAGTGCAGAGTGGAACACTACTGGGAGCCAAAGCTAGAGACCTGCTCATGAGAGTACAGCCTAGGCTCCCTCAGATTCTCAAGTCTCTCAAATTCAGTTCTCTGACAGATTATTTTTACCCACTACCAAGTGAGATTTCAGTGAAGCATTCAGCACTGTTCGAGAGGCTGTTCTGTACTTTCTCATTAGGCTATGTGAAGTTCCCCACACAAACTGGGCAAACACGCAGACATTTGGAGAAGAGGAAACGTAAAACTCTTTGGTGTCGACTGAGACTGTGAGAGGTTAAGATTTACTCAAGCTTAAAAACATTTACATTTTTAAAAACAGATGTATGAAAAGCCATACACATAACTTCACATGAAAGCAAGCTCTACAGATGCTAAGGCGGCAGGCAAGGCAGACTTAGCCAGTTCAGTATCAAAATCTCAGAGAGGAAAGAACTAGCTGCCAAATGCTGATACTAAGACACTCAGATCAGATGTCTTTAGATTGACAGTACTAAAATGCATACGAAGGCAGGACAAACACACACTGGGAAAGCACAAACTAACCTGCTTCTCTTTTCTTGGATTTGACTTTTGGTTCAACATCCACTAGCAAAGTATCCAGAGGCAAACTGTCCGGCAGAATGAAGTATCGGATGTTATTCCCTCGAATACTCAGCGTCTCCAGCTGTACAGGTTCTCTGTTCTTCAGTGTCATTTTCACTGCTTTGAGATGCGTATTCATACTGACATCCACTCCTGCAACAACACAAGGCTAATTTCAGGGATGAACGCCTATAAGATGGTCCCTTGTTGGCTCTTTTTAAGTATGCACATGCTTCGAGATTTGTCCTGTTCATTAACAACTTTCTCTGCCATTCATTAGTTAAGCCTCTAACTGAAGGAAATGACATGTCTTTTTCTCTCTTAAATTATGTTCGCTAATTTAGCAATTGCTGCCTTCAACACCTTGCTGCTAGAAGTCTTTACCTAGGTCTTAGCGACAGCCGCAGCAATTCTGTAAATGGCTAAACAATTCCTTTGAAAAACAAACAAAATGCTGCTTATTACAGAAGTCCAATACTAGTCTTTCAAAAAGAAGCAAAGCAAATCTTTTGAGAAGGAAAAATAACCTGATCGTTTCCTCTTTCTGTAAGCCTTAGAAAAAGTCCAGCTGCCACAGAAGCATTTACTTTCTGATAAAATACATCTAGTATTACAACACTAATTACAACACTAGTGTGATATCTTCTAGAAGTACGTAAAATACACTACTGCAAGGCACAACCATCATGGTTACAAACTCCAGGAACAGCCAGTACACGTAAGAACTGTCTACAGTTGGCACTGCACCCACTACGCAGCACTAAGCATAATCCGAAATGAGAAACAAGTCTCAGCAGAATGCATGTATTGAATATTAGCCCTGAAAAGCATTAAAAAGCACCCTATATTAATTTTTATTTTGCGTATCACAAGGCTTACATGGGATTAGATCTCAAACTACGAAGATCAAAATGAGAGTAACTTTTTCAGACCAAAAATTCAGGCAAAAGATGGAAATATTAGTTTACAAACACCTGCTAATTCAGTGACAGGGCACCCACATGAGCAAAATCTTCTGTGTGTTCGAACTTCTGTAAAAACACCCCTTTGTGGTAAAAATAATTAGTCTCATTTCACAAACACTGAAAGACAAACTAAGACGTCTTACCAAGGTAAATAACATAAGTAGCAGGCCAGAACCAGAAGAACCACTGTACTGCACTTACTCCACGTATTTTTCTGTCCTCTCCCCTTACTTCTAGGTTTCACACA